CTCAGCCGATGACGCCAGTTTTCGTTGGAAGCATGTTTCCCAGAATTACTTAAAATTTAAAATCATTTTGAGAATTATTGCAAACATTTTAAATTGTATACGATTATTTATACAGCGAATCCAATTAATTCCCTTCTAACTTTTATATTCAGATTTTATCGGGCCATCAAGTCATTAAACAAAAATAAATAAATAACCACTCGGCTCGTTACACATAAAACTACATACATACACAATCGGAAAATGCAATTTATTCAAAGTTTAAACCGCCGCAACAATTAGTCTTATTTGTTGTGTGCCATTTTTAACAATTTAAAATTAAACGAGTTAAAACATCTGCGTGTCATTGACATTAATGCGCCAATGAGTTCACAGTTCAGCAGAAGTTAATGGGTCCAAAAGGGAGTGGGCTGTTGTGCGAGTGGAATTTTTCTATAAATTTGCATAGTGTTGAAGCCAACTAGCAAGTGCAATCAAATAGTCGTAAATAATTGTGAGCCGCATTGCATTTATGGCACTTGCAGCGACTGCACATAAAGTTCCCACAGGCATGGTCAATGCACTCGAGGGCTCCAAGGATAACCGGAAATGGGTGGTGGGATGGGGTCTAGTTGAAGGGGAGACCAGGGGTCCTGGCGAGGAGTACTCTGTAAGGAGCAACAGTGACGCCAGCAAACAATGTGCCACTTGAGTTGCTCTCTCTGTTTTGCTGTGCAAAAATTATATTACAACATTGTGTATAAATTGTGATTTCCAGGCAGCAGCAGCTAAGGCAGCATTCAAGAACACGATGCAGTTGCGTGCACTGAGAAAAATTAAAAATATGAATTATTAAATAAAAATCCATTAGGGATTCTGCTCTAAAATGTCTAATAGGTTTTCCTTTATTTTGAGAATAGAATACAAGATTTTATTATGTTCTCAGAAAGTATAAAAATATATACATCCTACAACAAAAATACAAAAATTTATAATATATTCAAGGAAATGCTTTTTAATTCATTCAACTTTTTTGGAAGCTATTTTTTCATTACTATTGTAGAAAATATTAAATCTTAATGTAAGTAGCCAATATTAAACCTGAAATTAATCATATCTGACCAGTGTAATTGTAAATTTAAAATAAATTAAAATAAGTTATATTTTTTATAGATTTAAATAATAAGAATATTAAATAAATCTTAAAGTATTTAGTAATCGCAGATTCCTAGCCAATATTAAACACCAAATTAATAAAATCTGGCCAGTGTAATTGAGTACTTGTGTTGTGGCGTATGTTAACCCCTTGGCTGCTTCTGGGGGTCGCCGGGCTCACGCTTCGTTACTTGGCTGCTTGCAAGTGTGCAAGAGGGCGACAGTGTGCTACAGCTATAGCTGGGGGCTATAAATGGGTTGAAAGCAGGGAGTATCGGGAGGGATGTGGGTTTTGGGGACGTAGGGGCGGATAAGCAATGTGCGTGCGCCGCTTGGTCGGTTTTAACACGCACTTAACGCACCCCTTGTCGCTGCCACCCCCTCAAAATGGATGAATGAGTGTGTACACACCAACAATGTAATCTAGGGTCCGTCGACGACTGCTCATTTCCACTACAAAAGTTAATATGCTGCTAAAATGGCATTAAAAGTGCGCTCGGGAGTGTGAGCGTGTTGGCTGGCAGTAGGGGAAGAAACTCTTGATAACTTCAGAAGCATAAACACCTCGCGACACAGTTGCGTTCTTACCGAAGCTAATAAAGTTGGACCCAGAGCCACCGAAAGGAAAAACCCGATGGAAAAAACCAGGCGAAATATGTGGGTAACTGCGAACCGGGGTTGCAAAAACTCATAAATAGAAAATGAGTAAGAGAACGGCGAGTGGCAAAGGAGACCACTTTGCACTTTTCACAAATTAAAGTTTATGTAATGCCCTTATGGCTAAGTGACCAATGACAGCCATATGAGGAAACCTTTGACACTGCTGTTTTACTTTCCACGCTTGTCGTGGCAACTATGCGCATTTAATTGCGCCATTTACGAGTAGCGAGAGACCCGAGTCACTCAAAAGGTTGAGAAATATAGTTGGGTTGTTAGATAAAATTATAAAAGTTAATTTTTTCAAGAATTTTTCGTTTTAATGTGACTGACAATACCTTCAACATTTGAAAAATATTAATATACTACACCCAAAAAAAACTTTATATTAAACGACGTAAATTAAGTCGCCATTTTACTTTTTTCTCTATTTTCATAAGTCAGAAAATCTCCGAGAGAGATATTGCATGGTAAAAACGATATGCGTATAAACACCAGAAATTTACCATCCGCATATCGATTTGATCCCGTCGCATTTTTTTTGTGTGTAGTTATAATATAAAAATTCTAACCAGTAAACAAATTGTTATTAAATTAATTACATTTCAAGAAAACCATTTATAGGCTTGGGAAATGTAAATCGAAACCTAATTGAAATTGATTGAGAGGTAGTTTTAATTAGCCTAATTGTGTGGGCAATAAGATACTGCAGGGAATTTCAAATGCAAACTAATTAAATGCATATATCAAGGCTTCAAAGTAAACACAACTGAGCAAAAATTGGCCATTTAATAAAATTGAATGTCAGTTTCGCTGTTTCATTCGAAATTTGAACCCTGCATCAATCAAAAAGCCGGTAAAAGTAAACTAACAGGTTTTGTGTTGGCTCATTAAAGTGATTACGCCACGCCCCCAAAACTCACAGATAAACTTGTAACTAAGCTAAATGCACCCATGACAATAGTTTTGTCAAGTGTTGTTAATGATTCTCTTGCTGCATGTGCACGTGTGTGTTTTTGTGGGAATATGTGGGGAATGTCAAATTGCATACAATTTTTGCGAGCAACAACAATGGGTGAGTAGATTGTCGAAAAAGTTGGCCAACAAAGCGCCCCCGTGTACTCAACAAAATACCCAACGTTGCTCCCATTTCAGTTGTTTAGCTATGCATTAGATTCTACTTCTTTTGTTGAAAGAAAAAAAAGCGACAACTTTATATGGGCGTGGCAGACGCCCATTGTTATAACCATGGCTATGGGAAAAATGCTGGCTGCACCATGAGAAAATATATCGATTGCAATTTATTTGCATTCAAAACAAATGTACTAGGTCTTAACAAACATTTAATTTAATAATAAATTTTTGCTACAAAAATTTTTGTGAATATATGATTGGATTAAGAGGACATCTTAAATGCTATTAATTTAGGATTAAGAAATTATATTATCATTTAAGATTTTTTAAATATTTTGTTTCCTCAAAAAGGGTTGATAACTGACTTAATTTTTAAAAATTATATTTAAGAAGTTATTATACAAAAGAATAATTTCATCTTTTCTCATTAATTTTTGGATTAAGAAATAAAATTCTTATTTAAGAATTTTTTTTAAAGTCTTAACTCTTCCTGAAAAAGTGATAATAATTTATAAATAACTCAATTTGTAGATATTATATCTACAATCTATATCTGTATTAAACAAAAATCAGTCAGAACTAGGTTTAAAAAATGTTAAATATCTTAACTCAAGAATAAAAATTTTTTCCTGTGCATGTGTGTATAGCAACCAACGGTCTGGAACCCGACGATGTCGTCATAGTTGGTGCTGCCTGCACAATAACAACGGCGATGCATCCGCTCTTTTTATTTTTAGTTTTTCAGTTGCAACTTTTCATTGTCAGTGTCATTGTTGCAGCGATATTACGTACGAGTGTGCGACTATGCGAGTCTGGGGGCACACCTTCTTTGGTTGCACCATTGTTGCCGAGTTGCATAAAAAATTGACCATTGAACCGGGGAGAGAATATTCCTTTTATTTTCTTCGCTTTATACGGCGCTTCATGCGTGGCTTGCTTTTAAAATGAAGTCGCTGGGCTGCCTTTTTGCATAAACCATGAAAAACGTTACCATGTTGCCCGTTGTTTTCAGCGGAATGAAAGTTTTTCTGTCTCTTCTTTGTCGGCACAGCTGACGGATCAAAGTTTCCATCGCCATTGGCGGGGAAAAACTGCAACCGCTGCGGTATGCTCAGTTTTCGTTTCAATTTCAGTCGACATATTCTAATTGCGCAGGAAAAACATTCTAGCAGATAGAAGTTGCAGTTGCACAACTTTGTCTTTCAATTAGAGCTTGTCTTGAAAGGTTTTACAAAATCTACTACTTCAAGAGCCTTTAATACACATTTAAATCGATGGATTAAACATTGAAAAAGCAAATAATGATCGCTGAATTTAAAGTTTTATATTTAAGTTCATATGTATTCAGCGCGAATTCAGCGGAAAGTTGTTTCTGAGGCAAACCTGAATATTAAATATATTTTAATTTGTAAAATGGTTTTGAATTTTTTTTCAGCACCCAAAACATAAAATCGAATTTAAGACAAATCGTTTATTGTATATTTGAGCAACCAAAAACATCAATTTTTAGATTCGATTTTATGTTTTGGTTGCTCAAAAATAATCTTCTTTCATTATTTTTTTCCCGTAAAATTATTTTTTCTTCACCTTTTGAAAAAAGCGTATTAGGCGAAGCTTCTACCGTGACATTAGCTAAGCTCTACAGCCAGATTTCTCACTGCTCCGATAAACAAGTTGTTAAGCTCAACAACTTCTGAACCCAAGCCACTTTTCTTTTCTCAGCCACGCCCACGAAAGTGTGTCAGTTGACAAACTGACAGCCAAACTGGGGAGATGAGCACAACAGCATAGCAGAACAACAAATGATTAGCAGGCACTCGCGACTGTCATAACTCAGGTGTCAAAACAGAAACGAAATGTTATCAAACAATTTCAAGGCTGACTTGTGTCCTCCTTAGAACTGTATCCTTGAGTACGAAATAAAGTAGGGAACTTCTTTGCCAGCCGCCGAATAAATCACATTTAACAATGTGCGAGAGTATTTTTCATTTCTGCATCGGCAACTTACTTTTGAAAAGTGGAAAAGTGGATGAGCGAGTGTGGAGAGAGGGGAAATGGAATTTATTTCGACTTACCTTCGCGCACATTTTCGTAGGCGTCCTCGACATGTGACTCCTTGTAGATAATGGAGTGAAAATCAAGTTCGTCCTCGGCATTATGCTCCTGCTCCTTCTTTTCGTCCTCGGAATTATCCGATGTGGGTGGGAATGTTGTTGTCGACGACGACGACGACGAGGAATCGGAATGCTCTGGGAGCTGCTGCTGGGTCGTCGCTGTGGATTCAGCAATTTTCTTTATGAAGTTTTCGGTCTTACTATCAACGGCAGTTCTGTTGTTGTTGTTGTTATTGTTATTTCGGGCCAAAGGCCGCGTTGGTTGTGTGTTTTTTGTGCTGCTGATGATGCTCCTTGGAGCCGACGTCGTCGAGGATATTGGTGGTGTTGTTGTCGCCGTGCGATTTGTGGGGAAATAATGTTTGGCATGTTCAACATAATAGGCATCACGTTCCGTTATAATTTTACCCTCGAATACCCCATTGTGTATGGAACCAAATACATAACTATTACGATCCCCTATCACTTCGCCCTCATAGATATGATCCGTGGAGACATCAATGGGACCTTTGCTATCATAAAACTGCAAGTAAAACCGAATGTGAAAAAAGTATTTTTAAAAATTGTAATACTCTATGGTAATACTCACGTCTAACTTATTGCTAAATGTATTTAAATCACGTTTTAATCTAAGATGGAAGTCTCTTCCATGTGATGCAAACTTTAAATGTACATAATGATCTTTGGTCACTGATCGTCGCGCTCTATTGTGACTAGCTCGTATGTGCTCGTGATCATAGTTGAGTGTTTCATAGTGGGATATGTATTCGTTAAGTCGTTCATGACCTGTAAGGATAGAGAGAAAATGGAACATGTTAGTAAAATCTAATAAAATCAGAATGCTTAAATATTCTGCTACTTTTATTTATAAAAATCCCCAGAAGTTTTCTATAAAACCAAAGATTATTTCATTTAATTGCAATATTAGCTAGCTTCAAAAATAAGTCTGCTTTTCTAGCTGCTCGTTAAATCTGGAAAATCGATGGCCGGCAGAAAACCAAGAAACAATTTGAAAGCCGCAATTGAAATTAAATGAAAACCGGAAATTGAAACAACACCGAACCAGAGACCCCCAACCAGACCTCAGATGTGTTTATGTGTCCAGCTCAGAAGCAGCCAGAACTGGCCTCAAAGTCCTCAGAGCTCTTTCATTTCCTTGTCAACGCTCGGACACTACCTTCACTTAATACTTTTAACGTTTGATTGCATTTATGCAAGGGTCTGGTATGGTTTGGTATGGCATGAGGGTTTGCTGCAGTTCTCTGTAATGCATTTACTGTTGCAGTGGCCCTCTGATGATGGCTGAAATTCGTTTTTGCACATGCCACAGCCAACTGCCTAACTGATGGCAAGTGGCACTTGTGTGGGCGTGGCAGGCAAGCAGGCAGAATTGCTCTGCAACTGCCACAAACATATTTATTTTGGCAGATGGACTGGAAAAATGGAAGGCGAGAAAGGACGACAGAACGACAGGGAAATGGCATGCAAGGCGTCGCTTCGGGTCGACAGAATGCCTTTCCTTTCGCCCTTTTCCTCTTCCTCTCAAAATGGAGCTTGCACAACATTTTTAATGCACTTACAACGCACACAGATGCACGCATAACTGCATTACTTAAGAGGGAATTTTCGTCTGCCAGTTAGGGCCAAGAGCCAGTCGAGGCCATCAAGCCCGTCTGCTTACCAAATGGAGTGTGTGTTGCCAACTAAATGGTGCAACGATGTGGTCACAAAGAAACAGAACGTCCTCTTACTACGTCATAAATTAAGATCTTTTTTGGTTTAACAAGGCAATTTTTGATGGTGTATAAAAATGGTTTAAAGTAGTAATTAAGTGTTCTAATTAAATAAATAAATTTTTAGGAAAAAATAACATGGTACAAATTTATTTTATATATATATCTCCGTAATCAATTCAAAGATTCCGATTTCATATTTATTCAAATTAGACTCAATATTTAAAACTTTTAAAATTACTATAATAGTTAGATTTAATATTATCATATTTAAAATTAATTAAAAAGTGCAAAAATTGAAAAACATGGCATAAATCTAGTTTTTACTATTAATAAAAAGCAGAAAATTACATAGGACGTGTCAGTCTCCGTTCGGCATTAAATTAATTAAAAACTTGCCAACGAGAAATAATACAAAATAATAAGAAACATAAAAGTGAGCGGGCAGAATGCGGGTTCAACTTCAAAACGACTGTCGGAAAAATACACAGAGCCAGGCAGTATCTGGAAAAAAAAAGAAATCCTCAACACGAAATAAATTGCAAAGGTTCTAAAAAACCGAGCTTTATAAGGGCACGCGGGGGCTGGGTAATTAAACTGAATGTTCAAGTAAACATTAAACAACGATTTTTTTTTACGTTCTTTTTTCGTGCAAACGTCATGATGAATCCAGCCAGAATAAAGGGAACGACCTGCAGCAGCAGCAGCAGTGGCAAAAAGTAAGGGAGCCCTTGGCCAAAGGGGTCATTTTAGTAGTTGACCCACAAAACGGTACAAAGGTTTACCCAGCGTCCCAGTCCCTGTGGTTCAACAATGCGGAAAGCTCTCTCTCAGCAACTGATTAAACAAAGCTAAAAGCCCGAGGGAAAACGAATTGCTTGGAAAATAAGCGAAAGGTGGCATCAATAGATTTTCCGAATCCAAAAGAAAGTGAGGAAAATGGGTTGCCACGAAAACGAAATGGACAATGGAAGGTTGTCATTAGGAAAAAGTACGAAACGTGAGCTTGGAAACACTAGTTTACAGCCGAAATGCTCCCCAGCAATTAATGGCAAATTGTGTTAGTTTTGGACCCCTAGATCACGAAAATAGAACTAAATTTTTTTTCGATGGCACAGTTTTTTTTTTAAGATTTTTTAAAGTTTGATATGTTAAATTTCGGACTTTTTTCGAATTTCTTCTTATATCTCGCCAGATATCCACTCGATTGGGCCAGTTTTAGTTTTATTTTAAAGTCAATAGATCAGAGCTTAACTTTGCCATACAGATCAATATGATTGAATAAGTAATGGCAGCGCAGAAGCTTGACAAAGATGAAAAATGTGTTTTTTGGTCGACTGTAAGTCGGCTGTATATATCGTAAAAACTCGAAATAAATCCGTTGAAAAATCATTATGGGTACAAACTTAAAGTTTACATCCTACCGAATAAAACAAGCAGGATATGGCCCACATCCATGGAAAACTGGATTTATGGTGGATTTTTAAAGTTCGGATTTTTCCACTTTTTTCGGTTGACAGAGTCCAAATTTAAGATTTATCATAGGCGGCGACATGTAAACCAAAATGAGTGGTGACGGCAGGCGGGTCAAAAAATAGCTCAAATTAAAAGCTAAAAAACTATAACATAAATTTAATTTCTGAACATTCCTTTAAAAATATAAAACTGCTTCCGTTATGACTGTGAGTGTTTTTAATTAAGTACTATCCATTTGGATAGTTCATTCTTATGAAAAAAGTAACCTTAATTTCAAAAATTAAATTCACTTTAATAATTTTCTAGCTTTTAAATATCTGATTTAGCTATTTAGTGACCCGGCTGCCAACACCAATTATTTTTGTTTACATGTCGCCGCCTATGATAAATCTTAAATTTGGACTTTGTCAACCGAAAAAAGTGGAAAAATCCGAACTTTAAAAATCCACCATAAATCCAGTTTTCCATGGATGTGGGCCATATCCTGCTTGTTTTATTCGGTAGGATGTAAACTTTAAGTTTGTACCCATTATGATTTTTCAACGGATTTATTTCGAGTTTTTACGATATATACAGCCGACTTACAGTCGACCAAAAAACACATTTTTCAACTTTGTCAAGCTTCTGCGCTGCCATTACTTATTCAATCATATTGATCTGTATGGCAAAGTTAAGCTCCGATCTATTGACTTTAAAATAAAACTAAAAGTGGCCCAATCGAGTGGATATCTTGCGAGATATAAGAAGAAATTCGAAAAAAGTCAGAAATTTAACATTTCGAACTTTAAAAAATCTTTAAAAAAAATCTGTGCCATCGAAAAAAAAATTAGTGCTATTTTCGTGATCTAGGGGTCCAAAACTAACAGAATTTGCCATCAATTGCTGGGGAGCACACCAAGAATATTATTTTGTAAACTAGTGAAATCAAGTTGATATTTAAGCAGCAATTATCCCTTGAAATCGATGCATTCATCATGTACTTTTATGGCAGCCCATTAAATAGTAACTAATAGAAGAAATAGAAATATAATATATATCGATATTTATTTATTGTTGTGAAAATAAAACCTAGTTATTTATTTGCATGAGCAGCATGACTGGCATGAATTTTGATTTTTGAATTTATCCCAATCAGTGACACCTTGACTTACATTTCGCCTGTTGCTTTTCCGGTTTTTCCGGCCAGCTCTTTTTATTTCCCATCGATCCCCTCCCGCTGAGCTTCTCAGCTGCTGCACAACTGGCACAAATAAATAGAAAATGAAAAAAAAATAAAAAATAAACGAGGAAGAAGAAAAACCTGCTGGAAACTACTTTCGCTATTCGTTTTCAGGGAAATGGGGGGTTGTGGTGTTTTGCGGAAAATTGAATATGGCAAAATGCGCTTGACCAAAGAAAAGGCCAGCATAAACATGAAGTAGGCAACAACAAAAACCCGACTTTTCCAAGCAAAAGAAAAAACTTTTCTTTTCAATGTTTCTTTTTCTCGGTGATTGCTGCTTTGATTTTCTCAGATACATTTGGCCAATCCCAATATAGAGATGCTTATTACGGAAAAACTGGTTGCAGCTGATGATTATAGAAGCTCACAGCTAGCTAGCAACTAAAATCGCACTGACGAAAAGCGATTTTCGTTTGTCTCTTGTCTCACTTATATTCCATTAACCCAAATTCTCCCTTCTTCGTCAGCCCCATCGATCCATGTCGCCATTGCCAGGACAAACGAGCCTTTAATGCGCTTCGCTGGAGATGAAGATAAGAGACCAGACCAGAGAGAGATGACTACGAAAACCCCGTGACAGCCCGGTAGAGAAACAGTAGCCAATCCCACTCGGAGTTATTCATTTTTAAACTGCGTCATGACCCACACAACTTGGCGATGCGGTGCAAAATGATGATTCAATTTGGTTGCAGTGGGTGTGTGTGTGTGTGTGGTGCGGTGGCAAAAAACCGATTAAACTGCTCTCGAGCTAAGCTATCCAAAAGGATTTGGTCAGCGCTTTTGGCTTTATCTGCTAGTTTTTGATTGATAGGCTTAAGGATGCTTATCCTGTGTGGGTGGCAAGGCAAGCGGGAAATAATGCCGAAAAGCCTCCTTCAATGAAATTAGCCAACCCAGTTTTGTGCCTGATATTGATGGATGATGCTGAGGTCATTGGTCGAGTTGGAATTGGCAAAGTAAAATCTTTAATCTGTTAAGTAATCAGTAATTTAATTCCGAAATACAATATTCAAATACCTTTTAATGCAGCAGTAATTGTATTTTCATTGAAAATTACAAGTCAAATACTTTGTGTTATTTATTATTAATTTTCATAGCATTTATTTGAATTAAATTACACCCCTTAGGTATTTATGTAAAGGCATGAAAGTTTGACAGAAGGTATTTATTAGCTGTAGAAATCTATGACATTTGATACCGTAATTAAATTTAAGTCGCCACAAATTGAATTAAAATGAAAAGCAAACATATGTGAAGATTGGGCAGCATTGAAAATCCGAAGAATAAGACACTCTTTGTTGATTATAAAAAATGTCAGTTGAACTTATAACAATACAAAATACTATCTAAAAAAG